ATGCACACACACACACACACACACACACATGCACACACACACATACACACACACACACACACACACACATACACACACACACACACACACACACTTGGCAACAGGACGCAACTGTTCCTCCACAAAAGGGTTATGAATAATTTAGTACATGATGTGACACATGCCAGATCAAATTAATATCAGGGCGACTCGTAATGGTGCGTAGAATAATCTCCAAGCAGATGTAACGAACCGGCTCCAGCCGTTTTCTTACGCCTGTTTTTGCAACATTTAGTGCATGCCACCTTGCCGGACTTTCCAACGTAACTCACCCCTTCGCCCTCCCCACGTTTTCAGACGATGGTTCCCTTGTGCGGGACTTTGCAGCTTAATCGATCCTCCCTCTCACCGGATGTTTTCAGGCTCAGACACTAACTGGGGTTGTCCGAAACTCTGATTAAAAACTTGGTGGTAACAATCATTGTGCCCGCTCTTTATTGTGTACTAGACAACAAATGACAAAAGAAATTAAAGCAAGTGAAGATCAAAAATCCAAAACATTTCTCATGGCAAATGCGTAACTCGACTCACAAAGGCCTGACATGTTGTAGAGTCCATTTTAGTATACCTAGTATTTTTCATTGTCCTGCGTTTACACCTTTACAGAGTATTGTACAATTTCCATTTCTGGTTGGCGTTTTGCCAGACAGCTGCCATGGCTGGGACTTCCCGTGACGTGTGGAAACCTTGGTAGGACGCTGATGATGTCATAGACATATAGAAACTTGGTTCCTTTGTTTCCAAGGTTTCCACACGTCAAGGAAAGTCCCAGTCATGGTAGTTGTTTGGCAAAACTCCAACCAGAAAATGGAAACTGACATTTAATATCGAAAATTTGACCTGCTTGGAGGTCAGAGTTGCAGTTTTTGCTAGACTGATGTTTGTGCCTCTTCCTGTCAAGGACACAAGTGTAAACACTCATTGTAGTTAATGGGTCGTAACTAGCTCTGGTATCGGACATGTCCCCGTAACGTATAAATGCCTTGCCTGCCAAAACAGTTTGTTGAATAGGGATCCTGGTGTCAACAAATGCAATATAAGATTGAATGTCAGCAAAGTAAAGCCATTCAGTCCTTAAAACGCATTGGTCTAATTGTTTTGGCGGCCATTGAATTCGGTACCGTCTGATAGACATCGAAACCAAAGCCATTGTCCGAAAACATGCAGTCAACGTCCAAAACAAAGTACATGGTACTTAAGAAAGTCCCGCACCGCGCCAGGGACACCTGAGCTGAATTGCTGGCGGAAAGTCCCATATCTGTTTATCGTCACGGTCTGAACGGTTCTGGCCTGGATGCCAGACTACCAGGGCTTATACGGACCAGGCCCTGGGCCCTGGGCAAACATGCCCAAAGGAATTTTACCACAGTCCCCTATGTTCCGATCGATTGTCCGTTGTGACGATCCCACATCACACAAATGTGACTTTGGATCTAACCTAAACCTAAAACCGCACTTCCAGTCTATTTTAGTTATGATCAGAATCCCCGCATTAACAACACATTTAACGTTAACAATAATTGTTTGATTACGATGCCTTTCAAGTTGCATTTTTTGCCATTAATGTAAAGGTATTAGACAATTTGTCAGGATAATTAAGTGAAAGATTTGTTCAAACAGACAGAAATTTATGAATCTGATGTAACAGTTTATCATCTATGTACACATGTATTCGATATTCAATAAAGAACAGAGATGAAAAAAAACAATAATTGTTTCAACCAATAAATATCAGAAACAACTAGAGTTCCACGATCTCATACCTTCGCCAAATGATGTTAATCTTCATGACAGACAAAGTAAAGATTATTCCTCCTGATTATGCAAATAGGATCCTCATTTGCATGAATTATACAAGTTGATCATATTCTTCAACAAAAGACAGCCTTATCTTAACAAAGAAAACCATTCTACCATTTCCTCATAAATTATGCAAATGAGGTCCTTATTTGAATAAGTTATGTTTAATGATGTTCACCTTCACTTAACTTTTAAATACCCCAAGTATAAAATTCTAGGCAGTTACCATTATGGAATTATAACATTTTCTTATTAATTATGCAAATTAAGAGTTAATTTACATAATCAAAAACTTCCTGTGTTTCTCTCATTCTCAATTACATATGTCACAAGCTTGAATAGTCCTATAATGTAATGCAGCTGATTTATAGAATTTCCTCATTAATTATGCAAATTACATCCAGATTTGCATAATTGTTGCATAATTATGTCAAGCGTCACTTAAGTTTCCTACATACCAAAAATCATGAAGATCCGTCCTCCGGTTCTTGAGTTATCCTCTTATGAATATTTTCAAAGAAATGGCCCTGCAGTTCCTGAGCAAGCCGCTAGGGGGCCCAAACCTATGTCAGTTGTTCCCCAGCACAAGACCTACCTACCATCCAAATTTCGTGACCCTAGCATGTCTAGATCATGAGATATCAAAACCGGAAGTTCAGCTGCAGTACCATAAGAAGCCGCTAGGGGGTCCAAAATCTAATCATTTCGAGGTCTCATCAAGACCTACCCACCTACCAAATATGAAGTCAATCCATTGAAGCCTTCCCAAGTTATCGTGTTTACAGACAGACAGACAGACAGACACACACACGAACGCCTACGAAAACATAACCTTCTTGGCGAAGGTAATAAATATTGAACATTACCGTCCTATCAACTGTAGAACAGCAGGTAATTATATGTTTGTTGGTATTATGTTTGTGGTGTTTTTGACTCCACCAGCTGAGGTGACATGTAACATACCCCTGACGGGGCTTTTCAATAGTATCGCACTGTTAGTGAGAAGGTGAGAATAGTGTTTATCAGGTACGCGGCTTTGTTGTCGTGATTGGGACTTGCCCTGACGTAGGAAAACCCCGTGAGATAGAAACTTGTTTTGAACGAAAACCCGACATCACCGAAACCGGACCCGAGGTTAAGTCATTATCAGCCAATCAACGCTTGAAGCGAAAGCAGGTTCTCCGCTGTGATTGGCTATTAAGCGGCCTGACAACAAACGAAGGGGAATCCCAGTGATGTCATACACAGGGAATAGTATAAAACTGCTCACCCACAGCCCAGCTTTGATATTTTTGTTTCAACATTGTAGGGTTGTAGGGCTAGCGGAGGGCTCCTGTGCTACACAGTGCAACTGCCAAGTGCAACAAGGAGATCCCGTGGTGACACTGTGAAGAGTTGAACTTTTAAAAAGGTAAGTCTTGTGTATCTCTCAATGCTGCATGCTATCCAAATCTGCCAAAGCTGTGGTAAAAAGGTTAGCCTGGTATCCAGTTTGTTGTTGTACAAACATGTATGTTTGGGGGTATTGGGGTGTTCAGGCAGGTTGTGCATTTTTGGGCTCTAATAGCTTCCCCCCGCCCAGTGCAACAGGCCGTCCCGGTATAGGTAGGAGTGTTACGCTAATACAGTATGCTTGAGGATTTGGTTTCCCCCAACACGTTCTTGGAGGGCTAATCAATCTCTCGTGAAATACACACCGGGAAACCTATGTGAGGCGGGCGGGACAGAGTTCAGAACTCTTGTGGCCTCCACCACGATCAGACTGGATACCAGGCTATAAAAAGCTCGCTGGTAAGACAACTATGCCAATATCACAATTGCAGAGTGGTTTGTTTTCATTACCCCAGGGCGTGACAAAAGCGTATGCCAACCTAGAGCATCACTGCTTGCAAAAAAACTTTTCTGTGCATGAAACAAAACGCAGCCTGAACTGACGCCAGGGTATGCTGCCAGAAGAATTTCGTATAACCACAACCCACTGATACAACTCTACTCCTCTACTTTGTGCTGGTCGATACGTCACACCGAAACTGATCCGAAACCTGACACCACCGAAAGTTGGACTGTCACCATAACTTTCGATCACACAATATGAATACTTTTGGAAATATCTGTTAACACCATTAAAACGAATCTTTCTGATTTCCTGACCAGAAATCTGATTTCCTGACCAGAAAGATTCTACGCACCCAGCTGTCAACATGGACACTGCAAGGCGAGTGACATGGAAACCAACATCAGTGACTAGCATCACTGATCATGCATATGCGCATGACAGCATCACACCGCGTAAGTTTACATTTCACAACAACTTCAGTTGACTATTCAGTGATGCTAAATTTGCTAAAAGATGGTGAATAGTTTCATCAAGTTGGTTTTGTCAAAATTGTTTTAGTTACTATTAATTGAACATCTCTATGCACGAAGCCAAGAGATTTTCATCATAGTTACTGTGTAATAGACTAGAAGGGGGGCAATGTAGTAGACAGAGGTTAACAGATGCCCTTGTTGGATTATTATATAAACCATGATGTATGGATCAGAAAATCTATTCCAGTCAGGAACTGTGAATGGTGCTATTGAAATCCTAGATGCGCTGCTAAATTGTCCATAGGAATGGAATTGAAGAATCAAATCAATACTGTCAGAACACTGATAAAGCTTTGACATCCAAGTTAACGATGTACAAAACCTTTCCTCAGTCTTCTGCAGTGATGCGGCACCAGGCATGATGATGATGTCCGGACAACTGGATCCACCAGGTGACCAGTTGTCCCTCCAGTCATCTGGGATGAAAGGCTAACAGCCAAACAATTTTTATGGGACGAGACTTCAGCTGTCATCAAGTACAACTCAGCTATAAACACACTGGGCTATATGAAACCAAGTGCATGCAACATTCTACATTCTACATGTAGCTATAGGACAGTCTTTTTGATATTGTAAATACAGACAAAGTGGTACATATACATGTAATCAGTCACCATAGCCTCTATACAATAAAATCTATTAGAGACTTAATTATGACGTAAAGGGTAACAAGTGCAATCATTGGAATTGATTTATCACCATCGGAATGGTCCATACCTTTACTGTACATGTATGGCATTTGTGACACCATTGCTGCATTTTGCCACTGTAAATGTCAACAATGTAGTTTTTTTTAACAACTGGATAAGCTGAGTCTCAGAGGCAGGGGTCCCATGTGAAAACAATACCTGCCTCACACTAGTGTAGTTAAAAAAGTGCAAAAAAAGGATGACATGAGCAAAGGAGCTGGATACACAACCACACGTCATTGAGGTGAAACTCTGAAACAGGTGGTTATTCTCCAAGCAGATGTTACATGCCACAGGCAACTCCAGTATGTCATTTGTACAACAACCAGTATGTGAAACTGTTGGAACTAATACACCAATTCTGTCATCCTACACTTGACTGTGTGTGTTTTCTGCTTGTTGTTACTGAATAATTTGACATTGGGCATTAGCAGGTGAGAAAGGTCTTATGAATACCAATTGAACAGTGCATATTTTCATTGATCTGTTTGGAAACAAAACCTCACTGTTGTGAGCAACATCTCTCTGAGTATCAGTCATTTTTGTCAAGAAAAAAATAAAAAGCTCCAGCCGTCATACAATGTACATATAACTGTGGGTGGGGACCATAAAAATTTTCTTGTCCCCAACCGAATAAAGACCAGTTAACTAATATTGGGCCTTTAAAGTACTGGAAAAATGGCAAAAAAGGAAACATTTTAAAGTACTAGTATACCACTCATTACAGTTTCTCATATTGAATTACAGGTAACCCATGGGTAAAGACTATTCTGTTTTTGGCTGGAAAAGGCTACAGCTAGTGGTGTAATGGGTCTATTCATCTTAATCTACTATCACAGATGACTGAAAAGTACACTCACCTCAAAACTGTAATCAATAAAATTTAATTCATCAAAGAAGGGCATACATCAATTACAGAATTCAATACCGTTTTGACACACCAACATACTACCTTGGACAAACTTACACCGCTATTCATTTCTGCAAACAGCATGAGAAAATTTGTGCATATAATATGTGCACTTTGTACATGTACACATGTATCTTCAAGCCAGATATACATATGGCATATATATATTATTACATGTAATGAGACATTGTCTATTAAACCACAGAATGACAGAAGTTATGCTATTAAGATGTTAAAGAATCACTAAAGTAAGTATGTAGATATGAAGCTATGTTCCTTAAGTTACATGTAAATGTAAAGATTGCAACCCATTCACTTATTTAAAAATTCTTTCAAGATGCAAACCTGGAATATCTACAATATTCCTTCATTGTCATAAAGGCAACTTAAAGGTTACTATCTAGGCTCTAAAGCCCTACTCTACTATGCTAAATATACAATGCTTCAAACTGCATCAGTATAAATTCAAACAGTTTCATATCATTTAGTCCTGACTAGACTTTATGATATATTTAATATAATAATGATGTCAAGTTCAATCATTAAGCACATGTATGGCTGTCTATAAGACAGCTACAGAAAGAAATATAGTATTAACATTATTGTGAGTCTCAATGAAATAGAGATAGTAATTGTTTCTGTCTATAAACACTTACTTTGGTGACAATTTCTGTCATTCACCACAGACACAAAAATACTCAAGTAATTGAAAGTATTGCTGTCAATTTCTTTTTCCTCACATAGATTTGATCCAAAATTATACATACATCTTTAGAGTAACACTGTGCACCCTTAAGCTTGTCGCAGAAGATTACTTTCAGACATCTTTTGACAGTGTACAGCACCTTAATTCTTGGGCTGCTCATAGAACATGAAGTCCTTCAGAAAAAAAGGAAAAAATATCAGAGGTCTTATAACACAATCACAATGTAACATTACACATTCAATTGGCTGATATGATATAGGCACAACAAACAGAAAATGATTGATTAACATAGTACATGATACTGACAGTTTCTATAGTTATGTTGGGGATTATAACTGACAGGAAGCTAGGTCAAGGGTCCCAGAAAAAGAATTTTATGTATGGACATTGTATATACTCACCACAAGAATCATGGCTCCCATCAGAACAGCCTTCAGTTTCACATCCAGGTCCAGAGGGACTGGGGGGAGGGGGGAAATCATGATTATTGTATATTATATTATTATCATATTATGAGAAAGGTACATGTAAATAACTGTGGACTGACATGACTGAGTATGGACAAGTCCATGTCACAAAAGTGTCCCCTCCTCAAAAAGTACACAATAGATGTGTGAAACAATTATACACATAAATAGATATCAGGTAGTCGAACACCTCGTCTACAGACACCAGGAAGACAAAGGGTTGCAAAAAGTCTTGAAGAATAAGGCGAGAATGGAACCTACATGACATGCTGTAGTGGTTGGCCTGGGTGAAGAACTCCCTGGCAAAGCCGGCGTAGTTCCTGGTGATCTTCCCAATTTCTGTCTTTTGGTCAGTGCCATACACCTGCAGCAAACAACTGACATTGTGAGTATGTGAATTTAGCTGACATCCTGATTAGTACCAAAAGAAAATCTAGATTCTATGCTACTTTCACAAGGAAATGGGTTTATAGAAAAAGTTAGGCTATATAATGCCATGCCAGGCTGCTACATGGTTATACCATGGAGGTACAACACTGTGCAGAGACACTTACATTGAAGTCCACGTCACAGGTGCAGCAGGCCCCGTTCCAAACACAGCAGGGACCCCACAGGTGGAAGACCGACTCTCCATTGGCATTCATGATCTCATAGTGGGGCTTCCACTTGGACCCCCTGGAATGTACTTGTCAATTATTGTCAAATATCATTACGTCTGGGTGTAACTGTTTGTGTATCTGTTTGTCCTGACTCGAGAAGGTTGACAGCATGTGGGTGGGTGAAAATTACCAGGCAGAATGACAATGACAGGAGTTCAAAGGTCTTAAATATAAGGAATTAAGACTTCCCAGAAGTTTAAAATCACTGCTGTAATACCTCCATCAAAAATGGAGGTGTTGTTTTCAGTGTCTTGGTCAAAGGTGAAATATGGGCCTCCTGGTTGCTGACCTTGGTGTTGGGTTCTTTAACATGGCTGTCCCTAAACCATAGATCATGTTATGATAATAATGCCATTTTGAGTGATTTTACAGTTTTTATGGCTTCTATGGAAGAATAAAATATTTCTATTATATTAATTACATAATTGTATGTTATTGTTGATATTTGACTTACGACTGGATGGCCATGCCGATGAGCTGTCCTGGGGGTGACTCCACGTACACCTCAAAGGCACAGCAGTCACGGGCGCACGAGGCACACCAGGGGCAGCCAGCACAGCACTTAAACTCACGCCGCATACGCATCACCTCCTAGGGGGACAGGGTAAAAATAGTCTGATGGAGGGGGAATCAAATGACATTTTGGCAGTCAGGTAAAGGTGCAGTCATGCTCCCATTAAGACAAAGCATATTTAATACATGCATAATCATTCATGATTAAATAAAAATCCAATCAAATCTGATAAAATCAAACCTGTCCAGAATTGCCCAGTGTGTGCATTGTAAAGCTGTGATTGATGCTGACATAATGATCATGCATCAATTTCATCAAATGAAGTAGCACATTACTGTACATGCAGGGATAATGCATGGACTTGGTAAGGTCCTAATATTAACAGGGCAAGTCAACTTTGAACAATGTGGAACTGTACTTATTCCCATGCTCAACTGAAAATGTGAAATGAGTTGAAATAAAGCACCTGCAATTATACATGTCACAATGTAGTGCAGGTAAAATCAGAGCTCAAAATACTTTTTTTTTCTGCATTTGTTGGGAATTAGAGCTCCAGAGTCCTGACAACCCCTTTGGTCTTACATTGACTGGTGCCATAAATGATCCAGAATGATGTTACATACATGCCCGGCATTGTCCAAGATATGAAAGGTAAAGCTGCGGTTTGGTCCACAACAGATACGCATGCAGAATTCAGAGTCTGAGGGAGGAAAAAGAACACTGTGAACACAGTAAAACTACAAACAACAGAATTAACATTCAGTTCTTGTTAAGGTTTTAAAAATTCATTTCTTCTCAAATTTTACCATCAATTAACAACTAATACTGGTAGTATGATATTTGGTATCTCTAGTATATTCCTAAAAAAAGGTTATGTTGAGTGAACATTGTACATTTATAGCATTAAAAAGCAACAAAAATGTCACATATAATACCTTCATAGGCAAAGAATATTTGCTGTCCCATGGAATTCTTGATAGCATACTTGTTGGCCATTTGGACGTTGGTAAAAGCTGGATAAAAGTGAAAAATATATATGTTACTAAGGCCACACCAATTTAATTTCTTGGTTAACGGATTTTTCTAGAAAAATAATGGAGCGGGCGGGCGAAAAAAATAAAAACAGGCCTAGGCATCCAATTATGGCCCAAAATGGTATGATAGGAGCCATGAAGTCAACACACCAGGCTGGTTCAAAATTCAAACAATGAATTTTTAACTTTTAATGATACCATTGCATTGAAAGATGGAATGACTGTAACAAGTAGTAAGAAAAGGACTGTTTTCAACTGTTCAGGACAAAATATGAGCATTTTGCAGTTGATTCTGAATTTTTATTTTTATTTGCAAATCAGAAAAAAATGAAGCGGCGAATCCGTTAACCAAGAAATTAAATTGGTGTGGCCTAAAGGTGACTTGACATACATGTATACATAGATTATTTTTTTGATTACCCTTAAGCATTGCATGTTGTATAAACACTGATCTGCACAAGACAGCCACACAACACAATACCTTGAAGTTCTCTTCTCTCTTCTATAGAATCTAAAGTTGTCATCCTCAACTGTTACAAGTATAGTGCGCAACGGCAGCAATTTTGTTATGGCTCATTTCATTTATTTTACCAGTATTAGCCAAGCACACCGGGTCACCCCTACTCTTCTTGATATGTGTGCACTGAGGTTTTACATGTATGTCACAAACACCCCCATACACAAACTGGGCTGCCAAGTTACATCCCCATCCTAACTAATGATGCGACTCTTTTCCAGTACCCTACCTTCAAACAGTTCAATCTGCTGGTGCACAATGATCTGGTCAATCTGGGTCAGGTACTCCAGACCAGGGGGGCATCCTGGGATGGCCTGCTGGGGGGGTGCCACCCACGTCTGCGCGCCCATCTTCCCCGCCCCCTGGAGCCCTGGCTGCTGCATCACGGGCTGCTGCATGGCTGGCTGCTGCATCGGTGCCGACCCCTGCTGATATGGTGGTGGCTGCCAGGAAAATAGCAACACCAGTAACAATTACAAACTACTCAATCTTGGATAATATGACCTCAATGTTATGTTAGGTATTCAGGTATGCTGAGAAAGTAAAGATCTCATAGTTGTATGAAATATTTCCTTTCTTTAATCTCTTGACAATTCTGTCTATATGCATTTACCCACTGGCTTAACTGTACAGACATGCATATACTAGCAGGAAATTGAACACAGGAAAGGAAATAACACTTTCTGGCACCTTTGACCTAACTTCCTGTCAGAGTCATCGATGTGCCTATAGCATGTGGAAATAACTACGGACACACCGAAAATAAAACCTCTGTACACAGAGGTAACAAGAGTTCCGAGATCTCATACCTCCATGAAATATGGGCTTGCTTTGTCTTCATTAATTATGCAAATAACCTCTACATTAACATAATATATGCATAGCGATGCAAACCTTTAAGTAACTTCCACATGTTATGAGGTATAAAATTCCCATCATTCACCAATAGGGATTCACAGAATTTTCACATTAATTATGCAAATTAGGTCCTCATTTGCATAATTGGTATCTGTTGATGTTCCGCCTGCCACAGATTAAATAGATTACATGTATAGCAGTACCATTATATGAAACACTGTAATTATAGAATTTCCTCATTAATTATGCAAATTAAGTCCTCATTTGGATAATTTGCATTTAATCATGTACAACTGTCTCTCAGGTACCTACACACCAAAAATGATGAAAATACGTTGTTCCAATCTGGACTTTTGAAAGTTTTTACCAGAAACTAACCTGCAGTTCCAGAACAAGCTGCTAGGGGGACCAAACGTATGACACTTACTCCTGACAGGATAAGCTATCTGTCACCAAAAAGTCAAGACCATAGCTTGTTCATGACAAAAGATATAAAAACTGCAGTACCAAGGTCATCCACCAGGAGGCCCATACTTCACCTTGACCTTTGTCTTTCCAAGACTTACCATCACACCAAATATCATCACAATTCATAAAGGCGTTCTGAAGTTATGCTGACTACAAAATTGCGGAAACACACACAGACACACACACAGACACACACACACACAGACACACACACACACAGACATACAGACAGACACGCCAAAAACAATACCTCCATTTTTCATGGAGGTAATAACTCTTTACAAGTTGGTGGCCTTTTTGAATGACTGTGCCTTCTACACAACATCTTTGGAGTAAGCTCCTGGTCAACAAAGCATGTGATTAGGCCAAGCATATCATTTGCTTCAAAACATTTTGCTTTTATCACTGAGAGGTTTCAATATACCTTTGATGATTTGAACACTAACCTACTGGGCAACCTCATTACTTTCACTCATTTTGTTCAAGTAGGATAAAACTTAAACTGATGCTATGCACTGTTCAAATTATAATTCAGTTCATAGTATCTGACGGACATCTATCAGTTTCCTTACTTGTGTAAGATACCTGTAGGTTATGTGGACCTTTAAAAACATTTGTAATATGAACTGGACTGTCTCCTTATACCTACACAGTCAGTGACTGGGTGTCATGTGATAACAGCTCTCAATGGTTGCCAGGTTACAAAAGAATGTGAAGGTTGCATGTATAATACGTATGTTTCAACAAACTCTGTACATCATAAAGATTATGTTTACAAATTACTTTAAAAAATAGCCATTAAAAAAGTTGGAGCCTAGTATTAGAAAAACAAATGAATTTAGAATGACCCTTGACCTACTTTATGGGACCTGAGAATGAGTAATAGTCATTCATTGGTCAATAATAGCACCTGTTAATGAGTGTGCAGTTGAAGGAGCGTTCAGTACAGGAAAAAAAAAAATCAGACAGTCAGACACTGAGAAATTCAAATACATTTGACAACTTGCTTTCAACAATGGATGTGGCACACCAAACCATTCGGCATATGTGACAAACAAAACTTCATAGGTTACTTATTGCTGTGTGACCTGTAGTTTACCTCCATCTCCGTGAGACCTCGCCTAATGTACACACAGCCGAAGAATTTGTACCGCTTGCCGCTTAGACTATGGAGGGGGAGGAGGCTTTTTGCTTGTAAAAGTTATATGGTTTAGTGGATACTAACTTCATATATAATCATGGTGCTTATAAGTTATAAGGGAGATAACTATATAACGGTTTATCAAACAAATCCGTCCTCCCAGAGTGACCGTGGCTATAGCACCGCCTGTTTACATTATTTAATTAACGCACATGTATATGCCCTGTGGGTTGTTGGCGGAAAAAATCCTGATCCTGAGCTATACGTCAAAAACGGAACGCAACATTTTGCACCTGACATTTCTGCTAAATAAAATCAAAATCACCAAAAACTTGTTACGAAACAAAGTTTATCTAACTAGGCAGATTGTGTTCTAAAATTGCTGTTACGTTTTTTCAGACCGTTGACTTCATTTTTATGTACGGAAATATATAAAACATGTTAAAAGACTCAAAGTTAAATTGTGAAAGGTTTAATACCAGTCTCGAAAGATTTTCGTGTTGCCCCGGGTAGGGAGAAGGTCCTGGAAGTTGGAACAGTGACAGGTTACGTGACGGTACGTTTGGCAACTGACAGAGCAGTGGGGCGTGATCACTGAATTGTTTACGGGCTAATTATAAATCTTCCGTAACAATCAAAACTTGTCATGCTGTCTCTACCAGGCTTACCTGATCTGCCATGTTGTCCCCTCAAACAACAAACTCCGTCACGGATCTGGACGCAAATTTGGAAGCTGACAAGCTGTGACAAGTCTCCCAGAAGCTCGGACTGCCTTTATAAACCACTGATCATGCGCCGCAGGTTTTGGCGTTCGCGTCGGGACCAACCGCTAACACCAAAGGGGTGGTCTAATAACATATCAAAATCCTTGACATTTCGAAACTACGTCTAAAAATTGCTAACAGCACACATTGGCTTATAATAGGAAGAGTGTTGTGTTGTTTTTCTTGTCATGATTTAGTCATAGAGCCGGGAGCCCTCCACATTATAAGTCATCATGAACTGTCCCCAACATCCGACAGGACAATGTGACGTCACGAAGCTACATCCGCCTGTTCTCAAGAATATATCATCCCTCCACGAAAGTTTCCTTTCACTATTTCTTCCACCAGTAGTATTTCGACCATGGTCCGATTGGTGGTCGCTAGAATGCAATAGACTGAGACGTGTTTTGTGTTCACCGTTATACACCATCTAATATGTGAAAAACATCTTGCAAAATGACACATTTCTTACGGTTTAATAATCCAACTATTATATGTAAATCATAAGCTATGGATAAAAGCGTACTGCCGCGTATCATTTGCCCCTGACAGATCTGTATTTGAGAAATTCCATGCTTGATTTTGAACCTGGTTTCTTTCATTCTTCTTCCATTTTATCATTCCCATTGTGTATTGGTGCATTATTCTTATGGCACCCATGAAGGTTCGCTACCTGTTATTTTTTTTAATTTTATTCACATGGATTTTTGAGCATTGGATAGGAAGCACTTGTTGTGCTTATGTAAATCCGCTGCTCCTAAAACATAATACAAAAGTAAACATAAAGATGACATAAAGTGTAGCATAAACATAAAATGAAAGTGGCTGGCGCACCAATAGCATAACATTATTGAGTTTGGTCAAACCTTCCAGAGTGGTGGATATAGTTGGACACGCTACCTGTTGCGTCACCAGTAAATTATTACCTTCGCCAAGAAGGTTATGTTTTCAGGGGCGTTCGTGTATGTGTGTGTGTGTGTGTGTGTGTGTGTGTGTGTGTGTGTCTGTCTGTCAACACGATAACTTGAGAAGGCCTTGATGGATTGTCTTCATACTTGGTAGATGGGTAGGTCTTGATGAGACCTCAAAATGATTAGATTTTGGACCCCCTAGCGGCTTGTTATGGTACTGCAGCTCAACTTCCGGTTTTGATATCTCAAGATCCAGACATGCTATGGTGATGAAATTTAGATGGCAGATAGCTCTTGTGCTGGGGAAGAAGTGACGTGAGTTTAGGCCCCCTAGCGGCTTGCTCTAGAACTGCAGGGGGGTTTAAAGGACAAATGTTTAAAAGAGGATAACTCAAGAACCGATTGATGGATCATCGTGTATTTTTGGTATGTAGGTAGCTTAAGTGATGCTTGACATAATGATATTACAATTATGTGAATATTGATGTAATTTGCATAATTAATGAGGAAATTCTATAAATCAGCTGCATTCCATGATAGGAAGTTCAAGCTTGTAACATGTTATTAAGAACGAGAGAAACACAGGCCAAATATTGATTATGCAAATGAAGACTTAATTTGCATAATTAATGAGAAAATGTTATAATTGCGTAGTGGTAACTGCCTGGAATTTCATACTTGGGGTGTTGAAAGTTTAAGTGAGGGTGAACATAATTAAACATGACTTATTCAAATAAGGACCACATTTGCATAATTTATGAGAAAAT